GGTCTTTAAGGTCCCTTCCAACCCAAACCATTCTGTGATTCTATGATCTTTTACATATGTAGCCTCTGGTGAGATGGTCTCTGAGGACCCCCATTTCTTTAAGGTCATCGGCCTGAGAGCAAGCTGGAGCTGGGAGAGACTTGCTGCCACCTCCCTGCAGCAGATACGGAGTTAACAGAGACCAGCTTGCCAAAGTCTGAGGAGAAGATTGAATCTTCCCAACATCACAGCTCCTGAACCAGCTTCCTCATGGTGCCTGGTTCAAGCAGCCGGCGAGCGAGCGCCTGGCAGAGCTGATGGGCGATGTTGCCCTGCAGAGCAATCTGAGCAGACAGTCACTAAAGAATTCTGACCAGAGAATCACAGCTAATGCAGGCTTCCCCTGCGCAGGGAATTAAGAAATGCTGGGATAACTTGGAGGAATTTGGTTTTTTGGGATGACCAGTTGTACCCTTTGTGCATCAAATGGCATTCAGAGTGTTGCCTTTCACATCTCTTCAGATACTTTTGGGAAGCTCATATCCCACTCCACCCCCAAACATCCATGTTAGGAAAAGCAAAGTATGAAACTGTGAACTGCTATCCCATCTGTCAGTTCATAAGGTCACTGGGAAGACAGCCACATTTTTTTCTCTTATCTTCTGCCATGCCACATACATTTACAATGCTGTCAAAAGTTTGAGTATTCAGTGACCTACTAGCCTCCCAGTGCCTGTTGAGAGATGTCCTATACTGTCCTCTGCTTTGCTGTAGAGGACTTTTCTTTCCTGAAGAGGACTACACCTTTCCCTGCTCTGGTATTTAAAAATGCTTACACAGAGTAGTATCTAACAGAAAACATAGAAGTCTTTGAAAATGCAGAAGTCCTGCCAGATCTACAAGACTTCAATGGGACTAAATAAAACAGGATGCAGGCTGTTTGGTTTATCTGTCACCATCCAGTATCTTCAGGAACTTAAAACATCCTTTGGGGCCAAATCTGCTTGCCCCCTAATTCGGAATGACTAAGTGCCACAGATGATCTGTGAGTCATCTTTTGGACCTGGAATCTGTTTTCTATCTTTCTTCTTTCATTATCTAAATAACTTGGTAAGAGCTTAGGCTGTTTCTTGATTGTGAGTCAAGCCACTCAGAATAATCCACATGCACAATAAGCTGGGATTGCAGCCTGTGCTTCAGTCTAGAGGATGTGCTTGTAGTGCTGCATTTCTTCCGAGTGATTTTAGAATGAATATTAAAAGTTGCACGCAGGATAGCACAAAGGAGTAAGCTGTAGGCATGGCCTAGCATGACACGTGCTTGCACACAGGGATTGGAAGTCTGGGAGTGCTTCGTTCGAAATGCTGGAGCTGCCACTCGTTTGCATTGTTACAGCTGACAAGTCAAACAACCTCTGGGTCATTGTTTCCTCCTGTAAAACCCATGTAATGCCGTTTCAACACTAAGAAAGCAAGCCAAGAGTATTAAAACATTGGAACCAAGGAAGTCTGCAAGTTGCAAGTCATTGTCAGGACTTTAAGACATGAGTTCCTATTGAATCATTCCCAGTGGTGGTTGCATTTATAACTGCTTCTTCCCACCTCATTTTCCACAGTCTAATGCCTGGGTGCTTCTGCAAATGCTTTTCCTATAGTGAGGACCTATAGATTCCCACCTCTGGCTATTTTTTGCCTAAACTTGGAGGAACTGAATTATCTGTGAGATACCGAAAGTTCTATTAAGTTTGTTTAAAAGCAGACCAGGGTTGTCAGAAACTCGCAGTGAGGTCTTTGCTTGGCTGACATGCCCTGGTGTTTTCTTTTCTAGGATTTTATGGGCGTGGCTTGCTGCTGGGTTTTTTGTGTTACAAGGAATTTGTTTTGCCAGTACATTTTGTTAGTTTCTCATTTAACATCCTAACTAATGCCATTCATTGCTCTTTCCACCTCATCCTATGCCAAGAGATGGCATTGAGGCTCGGTAGTATTTTAATCTGAGGACTTTAAACAGCTCTGAATAAAGGTAAGAGGCCGTAGAGCAGTGAGATCTGAGCACTGTCTGTTTCTCTGCAGGGTT